ACATAATTCTATTTCTGAATTTTTAATAATTTTACAAATAGCAATAATCATTTTCTCTTTGTCAATATTATATTCATACGAATTATAATCATATAAAAGAGTATGGATATTAAAATTACTTTTTGTAAAGCTACTCAAAAATATTGTAATATACTTCATCGTAATTTTCTTTTTGTTGATAAGTTCACTAGTAAAAATAAAACCTATTTCATAAGACATAAACTTTATATTAATTTCTTAAGTATTGGAGCTGGCTAAAAATACTTATAATATTTCAAAATTACAGTTATTATAAAAGTTTAATTGATTTAGTATTCAATTTCTAAAGCAGAATTCTATTCTTTTTTACCAATTTCATGTTATTTTATGAAACTCTGACTGATTTTTTGTCTAAAAGTGGTTATTTTTAGATATTAGAATGTTAGTATACAAATAAGTTATTACTTTTCGAAATGATCTTAAGTAACATTAATAATACTTACTTTGATATAGTTTTAAAAATCCTTATAAAAAGTTAAGTATAATATATTACAAAATTTTACAATATTTAAATAAGTAAAATTAATTTAAAAATGTTGCATAAAATTAAAGTTAAAATTTGAGACAATTTTCTTTCTAACAAATCAAGATGCTACAAGTACATTTTTCTGCAACATGCATTGAGCCAAATATATAATAATTTCCCAAGCTCCTTTTTAAAACATTCTTATGCCATAAACTTTAATTCCACATACAGTGCAGTCTAAGAAAGAGAGATTTGTTTCAATCATTTGGCAGATAATGGCAGTATATTGAATTATATTCTCCAATAGTTTGCTTTCATCTTAAGCTAGACTGCAGATGAATATTGCTTAATCTTTAGCCAGTTTCTAAGTAAATGGTCTTGCGACGACTCTAGAATTATTCTCTTAATGAATGCACGACGAATAATACTTAGTTAAAATGCCTCCTAATGGGTGTCGAATCAATGCGCTGCAGTCTCGCTGGAAGTAGAAATTAATTAAGTTGCCTGCGACAACACGTAGATTCTAAGAGATTACATTGAATGCCTTATGTGATAAAGCAAGAAGGTGCACAATTTACGCTTTCCAAAATAAAGAATTTTAACAATATTTAGAATCTTTAATATTATATTACAAATTGCGATAATATTATAATACATTTCATTGATAATATTAAAGATGCTAATTTAGGTTACATTTAAATTTAGATGTTTTTTTTTTACTTATTTTAAACATTATTTTTATTAATATCAAAATTATAACAAAATTTGTTAAAAATTACATAATTTTAGACAAGGTATAGACTGAAAAAGACATTTGAATGTTGCTGCAATGTCAATACTTAAGTGTAAACACCGAAACAGGTAAATCGATAAACTTTTCCAGTATACTTAACAAGTCATTCTGAGTCAAATTATGAGTCTACTTAAAATAGAGTATTGCATATAATTTTTCTATGGACTAAATTTTATATAGTCATAGAAAAAATCCAGAGGATTAAAATTTGGCTAGTGTGTATATAGGTCCTTTATCAAATTTCTTCTGATGTAACTATCGAGAAAAAGATTGCTTAATCCTGCTATGGTCCTCAATTCAACTATACACTTAAGGTCTTTATGTCGAAAATGGCACGAATATGCGTAATTCGGATTTTTAACCAATAAACAATACCAAGGAAATATAGAAATATGTTATTATATCTTTTACAGATTTAGTAACCATGCCTTTTAGATATAAATTTTGAACATTTTTGATACCTTAATGTGCTTTTATTATCAGTTTTATTACAAAAATGGTATCTACATCTTTTTATAGGGCCCAAACCATATGCAGCCTGATATCGACGCAACAGGTTCTCTCAAATTAGTAATATTTTCCAGTATCTTTTTCGTTGCTATCGCTATGAAAGACATTACTGATGAAATAGAAATACATGAATGGAAAGAAATACATGTATGTACTGTTCCAGAAAGTCTCACATTGTATCTCTACAGCGACGAAAGAAAATGTATGCGTCGTACCAGAATTCCGATTCTATCTTACAATAATACATTTTTTTGGCATTAATAGAAATATTCTAGTCATTTTATGCTAATTATCTTTTCTTTCGAGTTTACCATCATCCACTGTTTTATGAAACTTGACCAAGATTGATTTTTGTCTTTTGATAATGCCTCGTTTACGTTAGGATAAAAAGGACTCAAAGACCTAATGTGTAACAATTTTTGTTACCAACACGCCATATGAGCTCACACAATAAACTTTTGGTATAATGTTAAAAGAACAGAAACTTAATAACAATTTCATTACATTTGTTTGATAACAACAGAAATTCTTAAAGAAATAAGAACGTGATGAGTCGGAAAAGACCCAAAGACCGTAGCAGGGTTAAGAAAACTATTTTTTCACTATACTGTAGTAATAACTTGTTGGTCACGCCTTTTTCTCATTACGGGAAAAAAATCTTCTAAATGCGTAAAAATATTATTTTGCAAGTTTCCCATAATTATCCATTATGAATCATATGCTGTTATATAACATCAAGATAAACAATGCTATATACATAACAATTACATTTATGAATGGAAATTCATTAGCTTGAACAGTACTTGTATAATGTAAGTAAAAAAATAAATAGATGAGGTAAAAATAAATAAACAAATAAAACAAACAGTATTCGAAAAGTAAAAAAAACTGCTTTTCTAATAATGTACAGCAATATTGTATAACAAAGGAAAATAAACCTATAGTGTTATCATAATCTTTTCAGCTTTGAATAATTTGTTAAATATACTAGAAGAGTTTGTTAATTTTCTTACAGAAAACCTTGTATTGTTTTCAATATTTGTTATAAAACCATACAATTATTTATACGGAATACATTTTTTAGCAGAAACTAACTTTTTCATTCTACTATTTGAATATTTTAATTTATTGTAATATTCAGATTATGGAAAGCGTAGGTATAATAATTAAGTGTTTAAAGAATCATACAGCATCAGTAGTAATTAAACACGGTTGTTTATTAACAGTATTGAATTTATATCAGTGCAGAAGACATATTGTTCCATTTAAGATTCTTAATTGTCTTCAAACTTTTTCAATATAGAACTGTGTAATCGTATAGTTCTATCGTTAAATGAACTGATTGTAACTGTAATTCATTGTACCAACATCGTGTAAACTTTATATGAACAATAGAACGCTTTTTTATTTTTTACATAAATAGAGATTCTCTTAAATCGTTTTCTTGCAGCAGTAATTTATCTATTTCTAAATAAAACGGTTTGAACGAATGAAAGAGATAATGGCATAAGCATTAAATTGAAAAGTGAAAATAATATATGAATCAATAAAAATTAATCAAAGTAATAATTAGAAACATAGTACAAATTATAGTACATATAAATTAGCCATTTTTACCTCATTTGATGATTTTGCCATTTCAATATATTTATTTATTTGAAAGTAATCTTTTAATTAAAGATTATATCGTTCTTATTTAATTTACCTTTGTTTGGTATTTTTTTTTAGAACTATTAAGAAACTAAAACTATTTAACATTGAAAGCTTAATACTTTTAACAATTACAGTAATTTTGTGTTGAAGATCAAATAAGAAAAGAAGTAACATACTTTGCTATTTATGATTATTTTCCACAAAGAAACTATAAATAAGGTATAATAAAAAAAGTGTTAATATTTGTGTATCTAACATTGAAGTCTTAACGTAAATATATACTTTTTGGTTTATATTTCTTAAATCTTCACGTGCAGTTTGTAAACAAAGTACAAAAATTGCTCGTTATTAACATATAATAAAATTGATCAGTCTTAAAGAAACAGTCATAAGATACGATTTTGCACAAAAATACTTGCTTCACTTGGTATCAAAATTGTGATTTTAAAAACGAACTAATTCGTACAAAATTCAGAGTTATGATTGTAATACTACTCCCACTACCACCATTATTAAATTCAATAATTATTATAATTATAAAAATTACGACAATAATAGTAGCAGCAGCAGTAACAATAGCAGTATTAGTAATTGTGATAATAACGAAATTACAAGTGGTTATTTACACATATATATGTGGTATAAAACAACATTACCACTAATAACAGTATTAATCATTTTGTATAGAAGAAAATTTCTATATGTTGTTTTGTGCAGCATAATTAAAAAGATATATAATGTGCAATTTGTGCAATACTCTATTATTTAGAAAAACATAAGAAGAATTGATATATGAATGTGTAAGAGTGAAAGAAAACGAGCATATTTTATAGTCTGAGTGCAATTTTTAGACATTAAAATTGTAGGTATCTGTCTGCTTACACAGTCTCATACTCGCGCCGAACTGAACGTGCCAAACAGCATGCAAAGATTATTCCAATTAACTGAAATAAAAAAATTTTATTATGACATTTGAATTTATACATTTGATTATACCATATTACCATTAATTACGGTTAATTAAAAAATTTATTCAACATTAAATATAT